AAATTATTATGTTACATGCCTTCTTCCTTTGTACAGAGGTTTTTCTGTCATGTTTTCAGCTATGAACAGGTGACTGAAATCTACCTATAAAAGAACCATTGATTTTTTTTTCCTTAATATTTATTTTGTTTAGGGCAACGACTTATTATTAGCTCAGTTTGGGCCACCACTTTGTCCATAAATAAAAATTAAACCAAAGAAGAGCAGTTTGAAATGTGAAAGCACTGGTTAGGTACTTCTTGGCTTTTTAGTGTTTTATTCCTGCTTCTCCCTCCTTCCCCTACCCTCCAGTGTCCATTTGGAAAGGCAGAGTAAGGAAGTTCATTAGAAGAGTGGAGAAAGATAAGAAATTCAGCATGAATGAAAAAGCAGTGCAGAACTGCAGCATTTATTTCTGAAGTCCTTTGCTGCAGACACACATGACCGGTGTCAAATGTTTGGTGTGGGAGGGATTGGTTTGATTGTTTTTAAGTAAATATCACTGTCACTATCCGATAAGGAGGCGTCACAGAGAGATTTGGGACCGCAAAAAATGATGTGTCTGTTTCTGGGCCTGTTTTGTGGTCATGGGCAGGATTTTTAAAATCAGTGGCTGCCTGCCTTGGCCGCTTGCCTGTTGGAGGCAGGGAGGTCAGTCTTTCTGAAAACCAGGGTCTTGTCTTTGCAGTTTCACATGCCCAAATATAAATGTCACCCTGAAATCTTTCTCTGCCAGAATCGCTTAAGACTGCGGCGTAAAATCTGCATTACCTCAGGGGAGATCCTGAGTAATATTTCAAATACAGAAGCATCACTTTCATCCTCTGCTGAAATGTGTACATAACTTACATAAAAGTAACTTGCATTTTCAGATTGAGCAAGCATGAGTGCGTTTTTTTAAAATTGATAAATAGTCAGTGTTTGCAAATGCTTATTTGTGTTTTCTGTTACATGTTTTCTTAGCTGCAGAAGCAATTTGGATTTGAATATCAGACATTAGTGGATGGAGAGGTTATCCTTCATCTTTACAACAGAGGAGGAATAGAGCAAACAGCTTGCATGCTGGATGGTGTATTTGCTTTCATCCTTCTGGACACAGCAAACAGAAAAGTTTATCTGGCAAGAGATACCTATGGGGTC